CTAACGGATGTATGAAATTGAAATAAAATGATAGTAAATGTTGGAAATTGAAATGTTTTAAAGATGTTGTAAGGAATTGAAATCGACACCAAACCTGAGGGGGTAAAATGTAATTTTGACATCAAGAAAAGTCAAGGGACCTTGATCAAAAATGAAAAAGAAATAAGGTTTCAATTAATGAGAAGGAGAAATGAGGAATGGCAACCTAATTTAATCCTTTATTTTATTTATTTGGTTTCCTAGATCGATTGGAAGACCTTTTATTAGGAGGATTTAATTTAGTAGGTTAAATAAGCTTGGTCAGCCTAACTTTAATTTCTTCTTCTCCGTACGATATTGAGAGAGGAAATTGGTCAAGCGTAAAGATTTTCAGACTTTTACATTCAAGGTGTTTTTGATCTTTTATTATTTCAATACAATTTATGGTGATTTTAATTATGAATATGCATAACTAATTCCCTTTTTGCTAGGGCGATGCCACGAGCCTTAGCAAGAATATGTAATTTCTTTTCAATTTACTTATGATATTAAGCATGCAAGTTTGAATTATTAATCACCGGTTTAAACTATCTAATTGTCTTGATGATTGGTCACCATTAGGATATTTAGAAAAGTAATTAATTTGATGCAATATTGGCAAAGGGCTGTCCATGGAATTGACTAAGGCTTCTTGTGATTAATATGTGTAACTTCTTAGGATGGACGACACGTCTTAAGGGTTGTATGGGTTTTCAAAAGGTTTTCACAAAACTTAATGAGTCTTGCATGTTCACATTTGATATGGACGCCACGGACGGGTCGGATGTTAGATATACGTTCTATATTGGAGGTTCCAAGTAGGATATATATTAGGAAAACCTAACCTTCAAATATGCATGTGTAATTCATAAGCAATTGGAAGAACTATATAAGATTGTTAAGGTGACGGAAGATCCCTAGTGCTTTATTAATTTGATTTTTACAAAACTGTATCCTTTTCCTCATTTTTAATATTGCAAATTTGTCTACTCTCTTTAATTAAATTCGTTTTTATTAAATTAGGTAATAAAATCAATCATCCCAAATCTTTGCTTTACAATAATAACTGAAATTTGATTTGATACGAATTATTTAATAATCCTTGTGGAGAACAACCTTACTGGAACCATTTATACTACAATATCCTCGTCATTCTTGCAAGTATTATAGGTGTTTTTAACCCTTTTGTGCGTGTGGTAAAAAGCCTATCATGTATCGATTTGAAACTATCAATCTTCTCTTAATATAGTTTAGAGTAGTAATATCGTTTGTAATAAGAAATAATTTTCAAATATTGAAATTTTGTAATTTATTACATATTGATGGAATGTTATTTTATGCCCACATAGATAAAACTCTGGATGACCCGTTGCTCATTTTTAAGTTTATCTTTATTTTTTTAGACTATTACTCATGAAAAATTTGGAAATGACAATTATTTACTATAATAAATTTGGAAATTGGAGATCTCATATTTTAGAGTAAACTGTCGATTTGCCCCCTAAACTTTCACCTAGCTTTCGATTTCCCCCCTGAACTTTTCGATTGGAAAATTAAGGACTCAAACTAATTTTTTTGGCCAATTTGCTCCCTACCGTTAGTTTTTCAAACATTCCATCCATATATTCTGTTAAGTGAGACCATGTGCACAACATGTGAGAGTAGTTAAGTCATTTCACTCTTAAAAATGATTAAAAAACTGAAAATAAATTTTAAAAAATAAAACTTGCCCTCTATTTTTTTCCCTCTAATTCCTATCCTCAATTTTATTTCACTCATTCCTATGCATGAGAAATGACATACGGTGTTATTGTCTTCAAAAGTATCTAAGTTAGTCTTTTTCTTGAAGCATGTATTACCATTTTTATTTTCTCTAACAAATTAATAATTTGACAAATGCTGATGGTGTTAAATGTGCAAGAATGCAGTTGAAATATCCATCATTTGATTCTAGGTTGAGTTGTGCACTTTCTTCTCTTTTATAGTAATTAATTTATTATTTGAAAACATTGTACTTTGAGGAGGCAAGCAAAGCTTTGTGGAACTGCGTGGGTATGATATGCTTTTTTTATTTTTTGTGATTTGGTTGGATACTATTGCTAGAAAATTGGAGGAATAGTTAGGATTAGCGCAGTTAGCCGATCTTTGGAGTTTTGATGCTGGTGATTGGAGTAGTTTTTTTCTTTGACTTGTTGTAGTTTTTATTAGATGACGGACATGCTAACTGCTGGAAACTATTTTTATAACTCTTCTAACTCTTCTACTAGTAAAGTCTTAATGTCTCTAAAATGAAGCACAAAACGTAACATGCTTATATTAATGCACTGCTTTGGAGACAATAACACCATGAGCATTTGTCAAATTATTAATTTGTTAAAGAAAATAAAAATGGTAGTACATGCTTCAAGAAAAAGACTAACTTAGATACTTTTGAAGACAATAACACCATATATCATTTCTCATGCATAGGAATGAGTGAAAAATAAAATTGAGGATAGGAATTAGAGGGAAAAAATAGAGGGAAAGTTTTTTTTTCTTAAATTTTTTTTCAGTTTTTTAATCATTTTTAAGAGTAAAATGACTTAACTACACTCACATGGTCTCACTTAATAGAAATATGGATGAAATGTTTGAAAAACTAACGGTAGGGGGCAAATTGGCTAAAAAAATTAGTTTGAGTCCTTAATTTTCCAATCGAAAAGTTCAGGGGGAAAATCGAAAACTAGGTGAAAGTTTAGGGGGCAAATCGACAGTTTACTCCATATTTTAATTTTTTTTTCTCTTTTAATTTGAAAATAAGTTTCTATACTTATGAATTCAAACGTTTATTAATTTACAAATTCCTATTTTGTTCAAATTTCGATTTGAATTTTTTATCCAAACAAAGGGTGATAGGAATGTAAAGACATGGATTGATGTGCCAGATTCAAAAAATAAATTAATTAATTAAGGAGAGGAAACCTTAGAAAAATTGAATTCCTGACTTAATGAAAATACCTAACTTTTATGGTAATGCACCTAACTAAGTTTTAATGTCCTACCAAAGCAGAAACTTCAAGGACCAATAGAGTTTAACGAATCAAGTAAAGTCTTATTAGAGTTAGGTAAGGAGTTAATTACACTAACACCTTTGAGATTTGTCAAGTTTTCACAAAACTCCCTTACTTTGAGATATTACACTAACACTCCTTGAAGTTTTAGTTTCCTTTCATATAACCCCTTGAGTGAAAAATCTGCATATAGACTTACTAGTTTACCCTTATAATTAAAATACTCTATCTTTATTGATAAAAAAGTTTCTAGAAATACAAAGAAAAAATATCAAATTAAAAAATAAATAAAATCAAAACCTCAGCCGAAGAGATGACAAAGTCCTAGCTATCTGTGTGTCTCTGCAAATTTTTATTTTTCACCACAATCTCTTCAAAGATTTACAAAAAGATTAAAACTTTAAGGTGAGTAGTAAATAGCCATTAGAGAATTGAGTCGGAGTTTGAATTTGATATGGATTCTCAGTCACAATTTGGGTCTGGGTTAAGGAAGCATCAACAATGGCTGGTTTTTTCTCAACAGGCAGAGGCGGCAGCGATGACCAATATAACAGAAACAACCCACAACCGCTGATCACCTCACCACCATCACATTGCTCCAGAGACGATGTTATGCTACAAGAATGAGGACGTGGCAAACCAGTCATACAAGGGCTTCGAACTGTGGCAGCTACAGGAGCAACTCCTCCAAGCCCAGCCGCCGCGACTTTACCAACCTCATACCAAGCTAAACTCCAAGGTGCTTTGCTGCAACTCTTGGGCTGATCTACTGACCTATGATATGGCATTTGTCTTAGTTTTGCAGCCCCTTTTCCGGCCTTGGGGATCAATTCCTCAAATTGGATATGAGCAAGCTATCTTTTGGATGATCTGATCAATTATATATTGTGATTGTCTTTTTATATTTGTTGCTAGTGCCTTATCGAGAAACAAAGGGAGGTTCGCCGGAAGCCGTGGCAAGGTGGGGAGACCGGTGCTTCATTGAGAAAGAAATGGTTGGCTGCTAGGGATTTTTACATTTTATTATTGATGTGATTTTTCTATTTTTTTATAAAGTTTATTTTTCTTATGTAAGTTTTGATATGTGTACCTCGTCTTTGAATTTCTTAGACTTAACATAGGCTCCTTTTATAAATTTGATTAAGCATTTTCTTAAAATTTTGGTGATCAATTTTAGTTTTTTAGAAGTTTAGTATTTCACAACTTCAGGGGTGTTAGTGTAATTAACCAGTTAGGTAAGTAAAGTGATTTTAAGAAAAAGAGGATTAGGCAAGATTAGAGCATTTCAGATCATCTTTTCTATTTTTTTCCTTTTTGCAAAATTTGACAAATAGAAAATTGTAGCAATGTCTCTCAATTTGAACCTAATTGGAGCAATGATCTCTCTACTAAAAGTTCATGACCATTGATCCCTTAATTCATCAAAATGTGCATTTATGGTTCTTTCCGTCAACTCAGTTAAAACTTCCATCAAAATGAGTCACATGCTATGCAAGTGAGGTTGAATCAAGAGGCAAATATGGTAAACTAAATGGGAAAATTGTAGAAATGGTCCTTCAACTTTAACTCAATTTGAGAAATGGTCATTCAACTTTAACCCAATTGGAGTAATAGTCTCTCAACTTTAACCCAATTGTAACAGTAATTCTTCTAACATAACTCGTTTTGATGGAGCGGATGAAAATGACAATAGTTGCACATTTTGAGGAATTAAGGGATCAATAGTCATGAATTTTTAGTTGAGGGACCATTGCTCCAATTAGATTAAGGTTGATAGGCCATACCTACAATTTCCCCTTTAACTAATAAAACTAAAATTTCAACAGCCTATGCCATCACCCAGGTGTGTACCCACTATTGGCCTCTTAATACATAGCCACTTGCTTTGCAGTCAGACAAATACTATATAAAGAGAAAGGAGGTGAACAACCAATGTCACCAGTATCTTTCTGCGATCTGAAATTAACCATTTTATATTTCACACAAACATTTAAAAACGCAGAGAAGTAGTAATAACAATGTGGGATGTGGTGGGATTAAGTTTAGTAGCTTTGCTAGTAATATACTTAACTTACTGGATTAACCAATGGAGGAATCCAAAATGCAATGGGGTTCTCCCTCCGGGTTCTATGGGATTGCCTCTCATTGGAGAGACTCTTAGTTTGCTTACTCCCTGCTACTCCCTTGATCTTCATCCATTCCTTAAGAAGAGACTCCAAAGGTAGATAAAGTTTGCCTACTCAATTGACATCATGTTCACTCTATTTCTGTTTTCTTTAACACTTTCTTTGCCTTGCAGATACGGACCCATTTTTCGGACTAGTTTGGTGGGCAAGCCAGTTCTCGTATCAGCTGATCCCGAATTTAACAAATATGTAATTCAGCAAGAAGGGAGGATGGTTGAACTATGGTACTTGGACACATTTTCTAAGATTTTTGTGCTGGAAGGAGAGTCTGGGTTAAATAAAATTGGTGTGATTCACAAGTACTTAAGGAGCATTTTCCTGAATCACTTTGGCTCTGAATGCATTAAGGAAAAGTTGCTCCCTCAAATAGAAGAAACTATCAACAAACATTTATGTGCCTGGTCAAGCCAGGAATCTGTTGAAGTGAAAAATGCAATCTCAGTTGTAAATTTCAAACCATCTTAGTCTCTTGTTTATTAATGCTTGTTACTCTGCTGCTCTTCTTGTTAATTGACTGACACGATTACTTTTGCCTTGGGTGTTGTAGATGGTTTTAAACTTTAGTGCACAACATATGATCGGTTATGATGCCAAAACAGCTCCCGAAAACCTGGGTGAGGGATATCATAGAGTCACCCAAGGTTTTATGTCCTTCCCCTTGAATGTTCCTGGCACAGCTTACCATAATTGTATAAAGGTACTAGAGAAGGCATATTATTTTTTACATTTTCGTCCAATAAGATATCACAAAATGGTAAAACTTAGGTAATTATTCAGGTCCATGAGAAGCTGACAACCATGTTGAGGAATATGATAAGGGAGAGACGCAAGTCACCTGAGAAGCGCCGAGGAGATTTCCTTGACCAAGTCATCACCGACATAGATCAAGAGAAGTTCTTGTCGGAGGACTTCTGTGTACACATGATATTTGGGGGCTTATTTGCTACCTTTGATGCTATTTCAACAGTATTGACATTATTTTTCAGTTTACTTGCAGACCATCCTGTGGTTTTACAAGAGCTGACAGTAAGTAGACTAATCTTGTGCATCAATTTAATTAATCTTCCCAACTCCTCTGTGTCACTATATTTAATTATCATCAGGCTGAGCATGAGGCACTGCTCAAAAATAGAGAAAACCCAAATTCTGCACTTACATGGGATGAATATAAATCGATGACTTTTACCCTTCAAGTTAGTTCTTTGAACTCAGCATGTTTTTTTTTTCTACCTTGAACAGTAGTATAGAAAAAAGTGTTACGACTTACTGGACTTCGGGAAAATATAGGTTATCAATGAAACTCTGAGGCTGAGTAATGCTATCCCAGGCTTGTTTCGTAGAGCATTGAAGGATATCCCGGTAAATGGTAAGTCCTCAATTAAAATTGGTTAGGCACTTTGTTAATTCCTACTTAAAAATACTAGTTTAGTTAGTCAATAAAATGTTTGTAAATGCTTTCAAGGATACACAATACTGTTTGAAATGGTACCAGGCATATCGTTTAGGTTGATAAAAGATTGAAACTTTGAGCAAGGGTTTGAAGAAATTTGTTTCTTTCAAGAGAAGATAGAAGAGCAAGAGTCTATGTATTTCATATATCAAAAATGACAGATTACAAAAGACTATATCTTTTTACCAGCCGGTCTAAAACAGATCCTACATCTAGGGACCTAGAACTCCTCTCCAACCATAAATGGTTATTGGAGGATATCATCCATCCACTTGGAAGAAGATGGGAAGACTCAGATCAATTAACAAAACAAAAGAAAAAAACACCAGCTGTAACTCTAAAACTGGAAAAAAAGGAACTAGCCGTTGAAATTCAATGGCTCCTCCTGATTTAGTAAAGCCTTCATTACTTCACATTTCTCAGCTCCTTTTTGATTTCATCTGCAGGTTTAGCTTCTGCAGGGTAACTTCTAAAGCAAGAATGCAGCTTAATTCTCAACAGCCTCTCCTAAGGTGCTTACTGGCTTTACTCCTAACTTCATCCTCAAGTAATTGAATCGATCTTTAGGCAAAGCTTTTGTAAATATATCTGCCAACTGCTCTTCACTTCTGCAGTACTTCACATCAATGGATCCTTGCTGCAATGCTTCTCGAATGAAATGATATTTCCTGTTTATGTGTCTGGTTCTCTGATGAAAAACAGGATTTTTGACCATTGATATTGCAGACATGTTATCACAAAACAATGGTGTTGCATCAGCTTGCAATTCACCAAAATCATCCAAAACAAATCTTAGCCAGATGGCTTGAGCTGTTGCTCCTGCTGCTGAGACATACTCAGCTTCTGCAGTTGACAATGCAACTGTGTTTTGCTTGACTGAGGCCCATGAAAATGTACCACTACCAAAACTGAATGCATACCCGGATGTGCTCCTACTGTCATCTTCACTGCCAGCCCAATCTGAGTCACAAAATCCAATCAAAACAGCATCCTTGTCCCTTGTAAATTCAATGCCATAGCTGAGAGTACCTTGAATGTATCTAAGAACTCTTTTAGCTATTCCCATGTGCTTCTTCGTGGGACCATGCATGAACCTTGATAGCAAACTGGCTGCGAACATTATATCAGGCCTAGTTGCAGTTAAATATAGCAAACTGCCAACTATTTTCCTGAACAACCCTTCATCCGCCAACTCACTTCCATCAACTTTCTTCAGTTTCTCACCTGTGGGTAGAGGTATTGTCACTGACTTACAATCCTCCAGACCAAACTTTACAAGTAAGGACTTTGCATATTTGCTTTGATGAATAAAAACCCCTCTTTCAGTTTGTAGAACTCCCATTCCCAAGAAATGATGTAAGAGTCCTAAGTCAGTCATCTCATATTTCTGCATCATGTCTCTTTTAAACTCACTGAGCAGTGTATTGCTACCTCCAGTGTATACTATATCATCAACATATATAGAGACTATGATCATATTTCCTTCATCATCAGTTCTAGTGTATAAGGTAGCCTCACTTATGCTTCTTTTGAAATTGCAGTTTGTGAGATAAGTGTCAATCTCACTGTACCAGGCTCTAGGAGCCTGCTTCAAACCATAGAGAGCCTTCTTCAACTTATAGACCTTGTGACTTGCATTTTTTACTTCAAAACCCTCGGGTTGCTCAGTGTAAACCTCCTCCTCAAGCACTCCATTTAAGAAGGCTGACTTAACATCTAGTTGGAACAATTTCCAACCCTTTTGTGCTGCAAGTGCAATCAAAGTTCGAATTGTATCCAACCTTGCCACTGGGGCAAAGGTTTCATTGTAGTCAATACCAGGTTTCTGAGCATACCCTTTTGCCACAAGTCTAGCCTTGTGTTTTTGAACTGATCCATCGAGATTCAGTTTGGTTTTGAACACCTATTTGACTCCTATGACAGGCTTGTCTGCAGGTCTTTCCACCAGCTCCCAAGTTCCATTTTTCTCAATAGTTTCAATCTCAGAATTCATTGCTTCCTTCCATGCATTGTCTTCAATGGCTTCATGATAAGTTTCAGGTTCAATAATGGTCATGTTACATCTTGCATAAATGTCCTCCAAGCTTCTCAGCTTTACTGGTGTATTGCTTGGTGTTGAGCCTTGACTTGTACTGACAATGTTGCTTCCAGAAACATGTTCATCATCTGAGATTAATTGAGTAGGATTTGAAGAGTCAATAATATGAGGTTCATGAAAATGTTCTTCAGTTTCTGTCATCTCAGTGTTTTCATTTCCAATAGTGAGAGGTATGTAGACAGATTCATCTTGCTTGCTTTGCCAGTTCCAGGTCTTATTCTCATCAAACACTACACTTCTTGAGAGAATAATCTTCTCTGTTTGAAGATTATAAATCCTGTAACCTTTCTCACAACTGCCATACCCCATAAAAATTCCTTTGCTTGCTTTGTCATCAAACTTCTGTCTAAGCTTGGATGGAATGTGACTATAACAGATACATCCGAACATTCTCATGTGTTTTACACCTGGCTTTCTTCCTGTGAAGGCTTCAAATGGAGTCTTGCCCTTTACAGAGATTGTAGGACATCTATTTTGCAGATATACTGAAGTTCCGACTGCTTCAGCCCAGAAAATCACAGGAATGTTCTTCTCAGCCATCATAGATTTTGCCATTTCACAAATGGTTCTATTTCTTCTCTCAGCAACTCCATTTTGCTGAGGAGAATATGCTACTGTCAATTGCCTCTCCATTCCAGTGCTGGAACAGAAGTCTGAGAATTCATGGGATGTATATTCACCTCCTCTGTCACTTCTCAGCTTCTTGAGCTTAAAACCACTTTGTAGTTCCACAAGGACTTTGAATTTTTTAAACACATTGAACACATCAGATTTGTTTCTAAGAAAGTACACCCAACACATTCTTGAGAAATCATCTATGAATGTTATGAAATATCTGTTGCCACCAATGGATTCATTCTGCATTGGTCCACAAACATCTGTGTGTACCAGTTCTAATGGATTACTAGCTCTCCAAGCTTTCTCTTTATCAAATGGTTCCCTATGCATCTTCCCAGACACACAACTCTCACAGATTTCTTTCATTTCAGATAGTTCAGGCAAACCAAGCACCAACCCTTCTTTCTGCATCCTTTTCAGACTTGCAAAGTTCAAGTGACCTAGCGTTTTATGCCAGATCCAAGACTCTTCTTCAATTGATGCTTTTCTGGCCACTGGATTTATAGATTCAAGAGACAATGGAAAGCATCTGTTCCCTGTCATTACTACCTTGGCTACCACATTCTCAAGGTTGTTGTCATCGAAGATCACAGCCATGTTGCCTCCAAACAGAACATAGTAGCCGTGTTCCATCATTTGACCAACACTCAGCAGGTTTTCATCTAATCCTGGAACTAACAGGACTTCGTTGATGTATCTCTTCCCATGCTTTGTATTTACTACCAGTGTTCCCTTGCCTGTTGCTTGAACCAAATCTCCAGTCCCCATTTTAACTCTACAAGTCACTGATCTGTCAAGATTCAATAGAAGAGACTCTTGAGAAGTCATGTGATTGCTACAAGCACTATCCACAAACCACACAGATTTATCTTGTTCTATTGATGCTGAGTGACAAGCATAGAACATTGTACCAGTGGTTACATCTTCTTCCTTGGCACAGTTAGCCACTTGTCTGTTGTTATCACAGTCTTTTGCCATATGACCAAACCTATTGCACTTTCCACACTTAGCTTTTCCTTTATATCTACACACACCAAAATGGTATTTCTCGCAGACTTGACACTGTGGTTTCACACCACTTTGACTATTACTCCCTTGCTTGTTCTGTGGATTGAACTTATTGTTCCAACTTCCTCCAGAGTTGTTGTTCCAGTTTGATCCACTGGTATTGCTCCAGTTCCCATTCTGAGACCAGTTCTTCCCCTTTTTATATTGAGTCCATTTTGAGTTTGTCTTATACTGAGAGCCTTTGAAATTTCCATTACTGCTTCCGTTTCCTCCAACCTTGAGACTGCTGAATGCCCTCTCTGTACCAGTGTATTTATCTCTTTCATCATGCAAGTCTTCTCTTTTATCATAGACTTTTACTGAGGCTAGGACTTCTTCAACTCTAATACTGTCCAGATCTCTGGTTTCCTCAATGATTGACACTATGGACTTATATCTCCTATTTAGACTCATCAACAGCTTTTGAACAATCCTTTTTTCGGTTACATCTTCTCCTAGAGATTTCAGGTTGTTTACTATCTCAAAGAACCGAGCCAAATAGTCATCCAGAGATTCAACATCATTCATCCTTAAATATTCAAAATCTGCTCTAATGGCTTGTAATTTCACAGCTCGTACCTTTTTATCTCCTCTGAACTCTCTTCTCAAGATTTCCCAGGCACCCTTTGCAGTCTTCTCATTTCGGATTCTGGGAAAAAGCTCATCAGTGATTGCACTTTGGATGAGACTCAACGCCTTGGCATTCTTAATCCTCTCCTCCTTTGTAACAACAGAAGCTTCAACCGGAATGTTTTCCGTCTCGCTTTCTCTTTCTTCCTCAGAGCCTTCTTCTCTGGGAGTTTGTTGTTCACGTAACCCAGCTTCAACCACATCCCATAGATCGTAGGCTATGAGAATGGTTTCCATTTTAATGGCCCAAAAATCGTAGTTTGATCCATTAAATTGTGGTGTTCGTAAATCACCACCAGATGTGCTCGATCCAGCCATTTCTTGAGCTAGAATACGAAGAGTCACAATAAAAGAACCACCTTTAAGGTTTTCTGGTTTTTTTTCGGAGTTGGATTTCTCTCACAGTTTAACGCCCTTTCTTCGGAATCAGACCAATAGCTCTGATACCATGTTTGAAATGGTACCAGGCATATCGTTTAGGTTGATAAAAGATTGAAACTTTGAGCAAGGGTTTGAAGAAATTTGTTTCTTTCAAGAGAAGATAGAAGAGCAAGAGTCTATGTATTTCATATATCAAAAATGACAGATTACAAAAGACTATATCTTTTTACCAGCCGGTCTAAAACAGATCCTACATCTAGGGACCTAGAACTCCTCTCCAACCATAAATGGTTATTGGAGGATATCATCCATCCACTTGGAAGAAGATGGGAAGACTCAGATCAATTAACAAAACAAAAGAAAAAACACCAGCTGTAACTTTCTAAAACTGGAAAAAAAGGAACTAGCCGTTGAAATTCAATGGCTCCTCCTGATTTAGTAAAGCCTTCATTACTTCACATTTCTCAGCTCCTTTTTGATTTCATCTGCAGGTTTAGCTTCTGCAGGGTAACTTCTAAAGCAAGAATGCAGCTTAATTCTCAACAAATACCGGCTGGGTGGACGATTTTGCTTGTTACCCCTGCTCTTCATTTAACTTCCGACACGTTCAAGGATCACTTGGAGTTCAATCCATGGCGTTGGAAGGTACGCGTCTGTATTTGAAACTTGAGTATCTGATCTCAATCACAAAACTATCTCACAGCTCTAATTTTGTTTGCGTATTTATGTTTTGTATGTAATTAGGACCTTGATTCCCTTGTTATATCTAAGAACTTCATGCCGTTTGGTGGCGGATTAAGGCAATGTGCTGGGGCTGAGTACACCAGAGCGTTCTTGTCCACCTTTCTTCATGTTTTGGTCACCAAATATAGGTATATTTCACCACTCCCCTCTTATTTTGATCTCAGCATCTCACCAGAAGTAGCAAATCCAGTCTGTGCCTACATGGTTTTTGACTGAGCTTAATCATTTTTCGATTTCTGGTGTTCATAGGTGGACAACTGTAAAAGGCGCACGGATTTCTCGAAGTCCTATGTTGGCATTCGGGGATGGCGCTCACATTAAGTTCTCTGAGAAGAAAAACAACTGAGATGTTATTCTGATTCTGTATGGAAAATATGAAAAATGTAGTTGGAATAATTTAGGGCTGGCCCAAAGCAGGTGGATGCTATGCGCTTGCATACTAAGGTGCCGCCCTCTAGTTATAGAATGTACTAGAAAATTGTCCGCACGTTGCTCGGGTTTTGAATCCTTAATGCAAGACAGGCATGAATAATTTCGACAAAAAGACGGAGGATGTGAAGCTTATATACCGAAGGTTTCTATTCTTGTACATCTAAACAATAAAATGAAGAAAGAAAAATTCACCAAAAAAATCGAAAACCCTTGCCCAAAAAAACTCACTAAATTCAAAGCATAGCATCTACACTGAGTTACTACCATACACTGCTCAGTTAGGACTATGCTATTCTCATCATCCATGATCAATATAATCATATATTTCACAGCTACACTCCCCCTTGATATATACTGACAGAGCATCTACTTTTTTGCTCACTTTATTTGCTCAGTTAAGTAATAACCAACATACACAATTTGACAATCAAAGCAGCTACACCAATCATCCATAATGGGCAAAAATACAAATACAATTCTAATGGGGTTTGGAACAAATACACCAATCATCCAATTCGAATGCCGTTTGGAACAAATACACCAACCATTCAATTCGATTGGGGTTTAGCACAAATACATGATCTCAAGCTTTACATAAATGGACAAATACATACACACGCACAAAATAGAAAGAAGCTCAATTCTAGTTCTAAGTTCAAACGAACAAAATTAAATTATATAATTTAAAATCCAAGCATGAAAGGTTTACAAAGATAAATTAAAAAATGTAAATAACTAATTAGGCTTTGAATAAAAATGAGGGTGTATAATTATATACCTCAAAATGATAAGGAACCAACTTCTTCCTCCAACAATCCAAATTTCTGAAATTTCCAAAAAAATCCATTAGTAAGTCAGAGACTTTCATAATCGATGACCAATTCTAATGGAATTTTAGTTAAATAACCAAAGCCACACCAAAAAAAAAAAAAAAAAAAATTAGAAATATTGTTGAATCCAATACAACTAATTTGGTCTAACGAAAAACATGAAAGCTTAAGGCCTTGGTGAAATGTTCAGTAAACTGCAAAGGGCCTCAGCCAAGGCCATAATTGAACATCATTTCATACAACTCACAATTACTTTAATACATTTGGATCTGAAGGAAAATTAAATTTATTCGATTTCGTTATAAAGAAAATTACTTAATGCAGGAACTCCATTTGTGCTCAATGGCGTGAGAAGTAAATAACCAAGTTTATATACTGCAGTTCGAATAACATAATTATAAACTTCACCTAACCAACATGACTTGACATGAAAAATGAGTCGATTACATCAGTTTTAAATAATCTTGTCCCATACAACTTTTGCTAGTATGCCCTCTTATGTTTAAGGAGCAATTGAGAGAAATTAGTTCATGAACATCGCGCTTCTGCTAGTAGTGCATCGAGCATATTTGACTTCACAGCAGTAACAACCAAAAAATCAAATAATGTAATGGAAGAAAAACAAAGATTAATAACCATGCACCTATCCATTTTCTCTTGTAAACAAAATTTGTCATTTGCACCTAATTTAAAATCATGCTTGTTTAGAGCTAAAATCATATCAAATAGAAAGACTAAATCCATTGCTAACATCAGCAACCATAAGTTTCTACTAAAAAGAACTTAGCTCAATAATTTGCTTTGTAATTAGGATGCCTAAGACAATGATTTAATCTCTTGGAAATCAAATCAAAGCTACAAAGTGATTTGCTTTGAGCGATCGACACATCAAACTCAGTTCGAGTTCACCAGTCGCATTCAGATATATACTCATAACAATGCATTCACATTCTCTACTTTTGACACTTAATCGGCGAAGAATGCCAAGCCACAATCACTCAACCAGCTCCTATTTAATAGTTTCATTAAATTTGAAACCCATACAGAGAACAATGTTATGCACATAGATCAAACAGGAGTACCCGACCCATTTCTCTATTTTCATTTCGATCATTTACTTTTGTTAGGGCCCAATCTTACACTAGTTATTGGTTTATTTTTAGCTACAGTGCCTAAAACTTGATTTTGATCTCAGTTTGTCCCCTGAAATTTAAAATCACCACTTTACATGAAACTTGATTTTAATCTCACTGTGCCCTCTAAAACTCAAAAGTCGTCACTTTAGGGTGCGTTTGGTACGTGGGATGGGACGGAACAGAGTGGGACGGAACCGTTCCGTCCCACGTTTGGTGCCTTAAAATTGTGTGGAACGCGCGTCCCACAGAACGAAAAAGGGTCAGATTTTGGTTCCCCCTCCCCCCCTGGAACAAGTTTTTCCATCCCGTGGGACACAATTTTTTTTTTTTTGGACAACAATACCCCTTTTATTTTTCATTAATTACATTGTCTACCTCCCTTCTCTCCCGTAACCTCCCTCTGTTCTACCACAAACCCAGTAACCCAATCCCTTCTTTCCCGTAACCTCCCTCTTCATCCACCACAAACCCAGTAACCCAATCCCAGCAAACCCATTCGACGACGACGACGTCACCACCGTCACCAGCAAACCCCTCTTCTTCTCCGACGTCGTCACCACCGTCACCAGCAAACCCTCTTCTTCTCCGGCGCCGTCACCATGGAGCCGTCACCAGCAACCCCTCTTCTTCTCTGGCGCCGTCACCATAGCCAGGCCGACGACGACGCTGCACGGAGGATGATGACGACGCTGCAGGGAAGACGATGACGACGCTGCAGGGAAGACGCTGCAGGCCGACGACGACGACGACGCTGCACGGAGGATGATGACGACGCTGCAGGGAAGACGATGACGACGCTGCAGGGAGGACGATGACGAAGCTGCAGAAATTGATTGAAATGAATTTTGGGATTTTTCTGTGTTTGATTTTGGGATTTTTCTGTGTTTGATTTTGGGATTTTTCTGTTTTTTTTCTTCTTGTAATTGTTTGCTGGTGACGAGATCTGAAATTGATTGGAGGGTTTGCTGGTGACGAGATCTGAAACTGGATTGGTTGCCGAGAAAACGAAGGAAAACGAAAACTGGGGTCTGATTGTTTGAGTTCATACTCGCACTCAGCAATTGTACAAACAAGGCTAAGTTAGTCATTTAACACGAAATCCAAACCGTTCCGTCCTACGCGTACCAAACATAACACGAACCTCCGTTTCGTTCCGTCCCGTCCCGTTCCGTCCCGTCCCGTCCTGTCCCGTTCCGTTCCGTCTGCGTACCAAACGCACCCTTACTCCCCAGAACTCGATTTTGATTCCACTTTGCTCATTTAAACTCAAAACTCGCTACTTTACTCCTTAAAACTCAAAATTCGTGTTACATTGCCTTGTTTCCATTTTTTAAAATAAGTTCATCCATACAAAATTTATAATTGGTAATATACCAAATTTCCAACTGAAATAAATGGATAGTAAAAAATAATAAAAGAACCATCTTCTCTCTTCACCACCACCTCTATTAAGAACATAAGAAAATAAGAAATAATGAAATCAATGGTACTAATGATAAGGTGGCTGGAGAGGGAGGGATAAAGGATTGCTGCATTGGCAACACGTATAGAGAAGGGGGGGTGGTGGTCGGAGAGATGAAATCCAGGAATTGTTTTGCTATTCTTACTTTTTTTAGTATGTTATACAATGTTTGAAAACTAGTTTTTGTTTTACTCTATGTGGTACTATTTGATTGGACATGTGAGCTCTATACTTGTGTCATGTTAGTGAGGATCCTCGCCGGATCCTCTTTGTGAGGATCCGGCGAGGATCTCGGGGATCCTCAAATCACATATGTTCATCTTACATCATACGGTTAGAAATCGTTGTAAATTTTTTTATTTAAAATTTGAATATAAACAGTACCTGACAAAAACTGGCTGGACGATATAAGATGAACGGATGCGATTGGAGAATCGCCGAGATCCTCAATTATGCCACATATGTAAACTTAATGGTTATATGACAAATACATAGAAACAAGCCAAAAGTGTAGTGAATATTGAGTTTTAGGGAGTAAAGTAGCAACTTTTGAGTTTTAGGGGGGGCAAAATGATATCAAAATTAAGTTCGAGAGAATAAAGTAGTGACTTTTGAGTTTCTGGGGGCAAAGGAACAAATCGAGTTCCATGAAATAAAGTTGCGACTTTTGAATTTCAAAAAGTAAAGTGTGATCGAAACCGAGTTTCAGGAAGCGTACAACTACATAGTGTGGTACGCAAATATAATAATAAAATGTGGTATTCCTAGCATTTTCTATTGCATTTTTAGTGCAATTCTTCTTGAGCAATAAAATTGCATATAGGACATGCAAAAGTAGCACATTACAAAAACCAAAAGATTTTCCACACCCATCAAATTATGATTTTCTACATACAGCGAGCCAAGTATTTTCCATCAATCGAAGTTGAGGCCATTATCGGTATGGCTGATCACCATGTTGCAAATTTCTATATAAGCGAAAAGATAATGATATGGAGACAAAATTTCTGAGCTAAATTTTGTAAAATAAATAATGTTGTTGTTGATTATTAGATTATTAATTAAATGTTAATATACTTATTTCTTATTGTGACATATGATTTAGTTTGCAAATTTAATATAAACCACATAAAAATTTAATTTCTCTATTGTTACCCTATTGAAAAGGACAATTTTTTTTTACTGCTATAAAAAAGACAGCCTTTTGAAAATGTTTATCTCCGTGCATGTATTTGAATCTTCTTAATTTCTTTATAGTAAATCCATCATATCAATCAAGGTTGTTCATGTAGCTTAATCATCTTTTGAATCTTTTCGTAGGTGACAACAATCAAACGAGTACACATTGCTCAAAATACTGATTTTGAAATAAATAAATTATAAAAAAGAACAAAAAGAATCCTCTTCTCTTTTTACCACCCACCTCCATAAAAAAACATAAGAACATAGGTGACCACAATCAAACGAGTACACATTGCTCAAAATACTGATTTTGAAATAAATAAATTATAAAAAAGAACAAAAAGAATCATCTTCTCTTTTTACCACCCACCTCCATAAAAAAACATAAGAACATAAGATATAATGAAATCAATGAAACTGATGATAGCTAGGGTGGCTGGAGATGGAGGGAGAAAGGATTACTGTATAGGCAACGAGTATAGAGAAGGGAGGAGAGGAGGAGGAGAAGGGGGGGGGGATGAAGTTGAGGAATTGTTTTGTTGTTCTTACCTTTTTTTTTAATTTTTTTTTATAATATGTTATGCAATGTT